GTCAGCGGCGTCCTGCCTCAGGGAACTGGAAATAGATGCCGGCTGCGACGTTTGTAGCACACCGCTGAAAGTGGAAACTGAATTGCAACAGGCAGCTTAAGGCTACGGGTACTCCAGGGGAGGGGGCAGGCAGAGGAAGATGCAGCTGAAGCTTATGTGAGGCTGCAGCTGCAAAGCTGAAGTAATGTGTTACAGACCCATCCATATAGCCACTTGGCCTTAAAAAAAAATAAATTCCTTCCTAGCCGGGAGAGCCCAACTCAGGACTAGACTAACTGTTCTGCTCTCACCAGTTAGATAAATAAAAAAAGAACCCATACAACAAGGAGCACGTTCCAGAAGGTATTGACCCTATAGAGGAAGAGCTCCACTCTAACTGACATTTAATACTCCATTCCTTTCTTAATGCGTAGCTGGCAGAGGCTGAGGGTACATCTCAACCCCTTTCCTGAACTTCCGGGTGTCATCAGGGCAGCTTAATTTTATGTAAGCCACTAGAAGAAGTCAGCCTAGGCTTAGCCTTCTCTAGAAATGCCAAGTGCATCCGTGCAGATTCTCCCTAGTGCAGTAGTATAGATCAGCACTACTTTGAAAACAACCTTACAGGACTGTTTCAATTAGATTACATAAATAAGAAATTTGTATTTCTTCCATATTCACAGGACAATACATTCCTCACATACAGATTTTTATTAAGCTTTTCACATTTAATTAGGCATATATACTACATCTGACATGCTAACAAGGTTGTCAGGAGCCAACTTTTTTTTTTTCTTCCAGACATCTGTGGCAGTTGAAGTTTCATGGATTTCACACAAATGTTTCAAAACTTGTTTCCAGTTCTAAGCACAGTGATAAAACACTTGCCAAAAGTTTGAACCATACCGACACCATGTGCCAGAAACATACAAAATACAAGAAGTTTGAAGAGTACATCAGATAAAGCAACGTGTAGGAGAGCTGATCTCATAAGAGAGCTATGCTGCGGTATGACACCTCTCAAAACAGATTTCTGGGGTCTTAAACAGGAATAGGGGTGCTAGTGGTACAGGCCTTTAACAAGTAAAGAAATAAGACAGTGTAGCAGATGTTTTTGATGGTCAGCCTACAAAGGAAACAACCTTAGTATTTGGGAGCAATGCTCTTGATGCCTAGAAAAGAAGCACTTTCATGCTCAGGCTTATTCTTACAGTCCATGCTGCGTTAGTGTAAATGAGACACTACCATGTGTGAATTAAGATGAATCTATTCACAACTGATCAAGAGTATCTTACCACATTAACATCACGTACAAAAAACAAGACTGAAAACGTTATTGTAATTGAACCAAACCAGCACTACTGGACATCTTGCTTCCATCTGCAATGGTCAGAAGTTTCCTAGGTGGATAATGCACTGGCAAATCCGTAAGTTTTAGATGTTACATATTGCCCTATCTGCATCTGTTGTATGAGGAACACACTTGCAAGACAGTACGCTCCTACCCATGTGTCATCCTGCTATGAATAACTTGTTTAAAGCCTGCGGAAGCACAAGTTCTTTCTTTAGCTGGGAGTGATCCTCCTAGTCCAGTGGCCCATGCAGGCAACACTGAACTGAAATAATCACAAGGGAGTGAAGGAATAAGCTTCGGTTTGGCAGCAGCAGTAGATTCATAATGATTAAGTTGAGCAGTAGTTACAGATTCAAAAGAAATGTATCCACAGTATATGTACAGTATAATTAACTTCTCAAAAGAGTTTTTTTCATTGCTATATTTTAAAGGTTGCTTTCAAATTACAGATAAGTCCTTTAAATGCTTGAAAGGCATAAAAATTCCCCTTCCCGCACAAAACCCCAAACAATGTATTTTAGTTTCAAAAATATTTTGAACCCACAAACAAGCTTGGTATCAGTTAATCTGGTAAAATAGCTACGTGCTAAATAAAAGCACATCTGGTGGAAAGAGCGCAGAGAATGTTACAAGTGTGCTTAGTTTTTGCTTGCAGCATCTGGCAGTGGGTAGCAGGACAGAAGCAGGAATCTCAGTGGGTCTCCTCCTGTGTCTGTTCTGCAATAGTTTCTGTGGCACTGGCATTGGCAGCAGAGTTGAGAACTTCTCCGAAGTCTCCTCCAGCAGGTTTGCTTCCTCCAACTTTAGACTAGAACACAGAGAGCACCTCAACATAAAATTGCAGTTACTTGGCATGCCAAACATGGTTAACTGTATAAAACCAGTATCTCTGCATGAATAAGTTCAATAACTCTTGTCAGCAGAGCAGCTTTTCCAGGACTGAGCTACCTCCACAATGCTCTAAAGAGAGGTCTTTAAGCATCGTGCAGAAAACAATCACCAGCAACAGATAAACAAATGCAGCAGTCTCCCCCTTTGACGTTGAGATACACAGAGCATGAAGCAGCCCTGATTCCAAGGAGTCTGAAGGCTGGCACACCCTCAATTAAAAATGGATACAGGTCTTGCAGCCTTTCGAGCCATTTAGGCTTTAAAAGATTCACAGTTAAAACTCATTTCTGTATTGCTCAAGAAAGAACATTGAACAGCTTTCAGTCTCAACTGCAATTCTTGAGATCTTCAGTGGAGCGCAGCAACTATTTTATTTTCTCCAGGTAATGCATTTGCCTTTTCACTTCCCTCTACAGTACATACCCTGTGGGATGGCAGGAGTGTCAATGCCACTTAGTTTGCAAGAGAATGCCTAGTTCCCCGTGCTATGGCTTGCATGCTTCTCATCCAACCCAGCGTGCCCACAAGAACAGTCAAGCCTGGTTCCAGTTACATGTATTAGTTATTTTTTGAGTCATTTTTTACCTGGAGAAGCTATTAATGGTTGTTTCTGGCAATTGAGGCTTTTGTGGGGAAGTTTTAAATTAAGGTACCAAGACTTTACTTATTTTATGCTGGAACACAAAGAGAAACATCCTAAGCTATACTCCTGTGTAGGATACTAATCCCTAGGAAGGCATGCAAGTAAAAGCCTAGGCCATTTTGGATACATAATACTAGGTAAGTTATACTAGCTGTTTGTGCAGGTTAGGTAGCTGTTCGTCCTTCTAGTTAAAGGCATCCTCCTGTAAGAGGTCCAGGAAGCCCATTGTTTGTTCTCAAATCATTAGGCAGAGAAACCATTTCCACAGTAGTAAAAGGATGTCATCTAAGCACCTTCAACAGCTTACCAATAACTAAAACACAGGCTACCCAGAGTCCACTTAGTCTTTTCTCCACATCCACAGCTCCACAGCTCCAAGGTGTTTTAGTAATGCTTACCTTTAAGCTTTCAACTTTTTCCTCAAAGGATTTGAACGTAGGAGAATTTCTAATAAAATAAAAAAGGAACCATAGAATTAAAACCGTATCTGGTTACTCTATAAATATAAAAAAACAAGCTGTTGCTTTTTCCACTGTCAGCATGAGTTTTGTTTGTTTGGGGCTCTTTCCTTGTTTTAAAGGTAGCCTAAAAATAGTTTAGATCTGAATCTCCACAAGTGCTACAAACTTAAAATTCCAACACACTCAAGCTGCAGCTCATTTGTATCTCTGGCAGCTAAACATTGCCAGGCTGAGCAACAGGATCTTTCATCACAACACGGAAGGGAGAACTAGCAAGTATTTTAGGTTTAGCTTATTATTCCCAGTGATTTCAAACAGGTTTCTCGCTTAAAGGATTCGTTCAGAAAAGCTTAGTCATCACTTCTGGTTAGCCTAGAACATTATTGCTGAAGAAAGCTTGCCATCAGACTTTTTTCACTTGCTATAGGAAAACTAGTTTCATTTAATAGGCTAGGTGTTCAATTAACAAAACATGGTTTGCAGTGGCATTTTCTACTAACACACTGAATTTAAGGGAGACTCCTCCTTGTCTTTTAAGTGCTGGAGACAGCTGTGACTACAAATGGTAAGTTCTGTAGATGAAGAGCAAGACAGCTTGGGATTTTCAATGCTGAGGGCCAGTGTATTATTTATTAGGGTCAGAAGAGTGACTTAATGCTCCCACTAGCTATCACTGACATTTGCAAATTTATGCAATAGTTCGTATACCTTTTCTGCCTTCATGCAGGATTGAAAATGCTTGCCTTGAGTGGACCAGGACTAAGGATTCATAGCAGACTCAAAAAAAATTATTATATAAAGATGAAAGATGGGAGGGGTTTTTTGAAAGCAGTTCTAAGCTTCCCTTCCCCCTTTGCTTGGTATTTGTGTAGGTCACTCACACTTAGAAGCACTCTTTCATTTGGGAAAGCACACAGTGACATATATATATCTCTCTCAAACCAGACGCTCAGGAGATGGAGGAACACCGTGCCAAGCAAGGGGAGAGAAAAGGCAAGCACTCCAAGTCAGCAAGAGACTTTGTGAAACCACAGTTTTGTTTTTTTTTTTACTCACTTTCATTATTCTAAAATAGATGCCAAGCTATTGCCTTTTAAACTAGGAATCATTTAGTAGCATTACATTTCTTACAGACAGGAAAAAGTTGTCATAGTTCTCCAAACAGCAGGGAAGTGCACTTGATCACATTCCACATATGTGATAACCACCACCATTAAGCACAATAAAAGAAATTTTATCCTATATGTTAGTACAGGAAATCCACTACAAAGTTGGGTGGGTTTTCTGGTTTTGTTTTAAATCTTAAGTTCAATTTGACATGATTCCACACATGAAAATAAATAAACCCAACAGCTGGATTATGCATACATTACCTCATAATAGGCATGCTAATTGAATGTTGTATGGAGCGTATACTAAATGCCAGCATTAAGAAAAAAGAAAGCGAGAAGTTAGTTTAAGTGATAGACTGAGAAGAAATTGGCTTAGAAAGCTGACTTCTGGATACAATTTTTGGTAAATAGCCAGTCTTATACAGTCTTATATAGTAACTGCTTGGGTTTGCTTTTTTAAATTGCTTAGCCATGCACACACACACACACACCACAGAGCAAAAGCTGCAACAACTTTTTTCCTTTTCAGAAAGATTCAAGTGCCATGCTTGTTAGTACACATTCTGCTTGCTCACAACAGTCTGTCTGCTCATTAAGTTTCTCAAGCAGTGAGACACATGCTGCAATTACAGTTTTGACAATATCAAGTAGAAAGTGAACACTCAAGAGTCTTACCAATCAACTCATCTTCCTACTGAAAGAATTGTTCCTATATTCAGAAGGCTTCCATTTCAAGTCAGTGTAAGATTTCCATACTCATCAATACAAATTATCTACTTGTCAATATAGATTATCTAGCAAGTGCAGTCACATGAATCTATATTCAAGGTCAGGTTTATGCTGAAGGTAGGGAGAAAATCCTAGTCTAAACCCTGTTCTGAAATTCAGGGAGGATTTCTGTAACCAGCAGTGTTGCTATATATAGTTACTGTTTGTTTAGTGATAACACACACCTACTCCTAGAACGTGACTGGATATAGATTAAGGAGCTCCCAAATAACTTCAAGACAACCTGGAATGTAATTTAGTTCCGTATTTTAGAAAAATCCCTGTTTACTCTTGATACAATTTAGTCTTAAATGTTTCTTGTCAAATGCCATAAGTTAGAAAAACTTACTTGGAATGTCAAATTTTTACTGGGCTTTATGATGTCTTTCAAGAGAATATTTTCCAGGCAATTGCTGGGGGACCAGGGGGAAAAACTCTCACATTTGATGCACCTCTAAAACTCCAATTAGTATTTCAGCACAATGGAAGATACATAAACAGAAGCACAAAGGTTCCATGCTCATTGCAGAACAAGTTTTAAGAGATTTTTTTGGGAAGCTCATCAGTAGAATAGAGTGGTAGAAAAAAACCCTACACATGTGAAAAATTCCCTTAAGGCTGGGATCTCTTAAGGCAGATGCACAACCAAAGGTTGGTTTGTAGGTACAGCGTGCTGGGCATCAGGTACGCAAAGGTGAGACGTTGCCCTGACACTCATCAGTAGTGTGTGGCCATGTTTTATCCCCTTCCACAGCCCCATTTCTGCTGTGTTTCACCTTCACAGATGGTTTGGCTTTCCACAAGCTTTTCCAGAGCACATAGAAGCAGATTGTCTTCTGGACTGTAATTTACATTCCTTGCTCTGTGATGTGGATTACTACCAGTTCTGTTCTTGCTATGTGCCAAGTTTTAACACAGAACTAGGCTGATACTAACTAGTTCTCTTTGTCCAGTCGCACTCAGCCACTTCCCCTCACACTGCAAGAATGGCCTCCCTGCAAGAAGTTTAAGGCTGAAGATGGTGAAAGTTACCTTCTTTTCCTCATATATATTTACAATCTGTAGACCTGCTCGCACTGAAAAGCAACAACCCATGGCGTATTGCAGATCTTTCAACAGTTGTCTAGGGAAGTTTAGTTTAATTGCATAGACATCATTTAATGGAAGAACTATTCATACATTCGTGAAGGATTTACTTGCTGTTGTACAATACACTTACATGCTCAATATCCATTTTGTAAAATGTCACTGTAAGATAGTATATAGCTTTAATCACAGAATGATCTGGTTTGCAAGAGAACTGGATTAGATAAAGGCAGTTGATCTTTTTTAACATCAAATCACCTGTTCTTCAAGTAGTGCAAAGAAGCACTATTAAGCTTTGAAAACCTTTACAAATAAGAGAACTTGGTTTTCTTTTCACAAATGACAGAAACCCACATCAAAGCACTCACTGAACTAGGCCATCAAGTTGGGCAGTTTGAAGAAGAGAAGCCCTTTTTACAATGCTTACAAGCAAACCTTTAGCTTTAAAAAAAAAAAAAATGCAATAAGTTGCTCTCCAGCCTTCCATGTATTTTGTATTGCATTAAAAGCTTTCTTATCCTTTACACAATTATTTGTATAGCTAATACATTGCCTCATATTTTGAAAATGCAGAAGGAGGTATGTCAGAGTCCCTGCCTGGCAAACACGGGCTTACGAGTGCATAAGCACTGGTTATTTGCTTTTGTTAATAGTTAGGTTTCCATCTGATATGCTGAAAAATGATGATCCACGATCATATTAGATTTCCAAAGCAAGCGAAGGAAGTTCTTCTGCAATCTCAGAACAGGGCAAAGACGAGGATTTCTGCTCCGTAATACGGATGTTGTGCAAGAGGAGCTAAGTGCAAAGTCATGATGTGACTAGTGGAGGGTATCCCTGGCGGTAGCAGGGGGGGTTGGAACTAGACGATCTTTAAGGTCCCTTCCAACCCAAACCATTCTATGATTCTATGATTGCTCAGGACATTTGCCCAGAGCTACATCTTGGTACTACTGCTGTTCTGCACATAATACTGATGTTGCGTACACAAGGATGGCCAGTTCATCAAAAGTTCAAGGCATTCTTATAAAGGAGAATAAAGGTATTAAGAGAAGCCTAAGAAGGATCAGAGTTCATTTTCAGCGTAACAAAAAGCAGAGGAAACAAACAAAAAAGGAAGCGATAATGCACTGACTTTGCACCACCAGTCCTCCCTCTTCCTCTCTATTTCAGTACTTTCCAAGTTCACAGCTCCACTAGCTCCTTTACTCCATTTCACATCTCCTTCCAAAATCACTTTGCAGTGCAAGAATGAAGACCTGCATGTGATGTTTGCTACATGGAACACGTGGAAATAGCCCAACACAGAAGAAATCATGCCATTACAGCTGAGAAGTCCCTAAGCTAAAACAGTACAAGAAAAGCAAAGCCATGACGAAGAAGCCATGTCAGAGTTTAAGAATAAATATGCACCTGCATATTCAGTATTTGTTCAAGTATGAGGCCCATCAATTCTCATTTCCAGGAAAGAATTTGGGCATCTAAAACTTTCTAAAGTTCAGACTTGTGCAGTATTAGAAGTAGACACCCCCTGAGCAGTCACATAACCTGGGGACTTGAATTCACTGGTTGAATCCCACATGAACTCAGCACTCATGAAAGCAAAAATCTCAGTGGTTTTTAATCTCCTGTTTTAAGTGCAACTAAGATGTTGAACAGCACTAATTCTTCTCTCTCTCTTTTTTTTTTTTTTAACCCAGCTGCTCCAGAATTTATAACCATACCTTGAATTTCCATTGCCATTATTCTCTCCAAGAAGCACACCAACAGCATGGACTCCTCTAGCCCTGTTCCATTCCCTCCCAGTGGCCCAGTTTCTGATAGAGAGTACTCAACACCCACCTAGCCACTAACTTGATTAATTAGGACACTCTTCTTTTGAGTTATTAAATTCCTGAGGCCAGAAGCGAGCTATGAGTCTGTGCTTGTCAAATGCAATAGTCCATTACTAGTAGGGAATACTACAGCCTTAAGGAAGAAAGGTGAACCCTGTTAAGTGAGCAGCCAAGCTCCACATACAAAAGGTGTAGCAAAATTTTCTAGGCTCCCTTTGTCTTACTGATGCTAAAGCGGAGGGATTTCAGGCTGCTATCCTTATCCTTGAGCAAACTGAGCTCACTTTAGAGCCCAGGTTCTGATAGTGCCCTGTACCACTGGCCATCTCCTCCCCAAGCACTGCCCTGGGGCTATAGCTCCAGTTTGTATTCTAGGAGCCAGATCCCTATGTCTTCAAAGAAATCCTACTGCTGTCTTTAGCTACTTGGTGGGAGAGTACAGAAAAGATGAAGCCAGATTCAGAGGTGTGCATATATGAGAGGCAATGGATTGAAGTTGCTACACTTCAATTTTAACTACTGAAAACTTAATATTGAGTATTCACTTAGATTAGGCAGATAAAAGGCAATGCAGACAAGGTAACTAAAATACTCAAGTGTCTGCAGTAGTCAACTCAAAGATAAGGACTGTTTCACAGGACAAACTATGAACAGAGAATGCATAAACTATTTTACATGTAGACTCTAGTGATTTGATTAGAGTCACAATGCTAAACAACCACTGTAGTAAGACAAAAAAGGGAAAATTTCTACTCTGTCAAGGCACAAACATGTACAGACAAAGAGAAGGAGGAATTCTGCATGCCATTGACCTCAAAACCATATTCTGTCTCTACAAAAAAAGTGCAGAATCATTTTAACAGATTCCTTTCTTACAAGGAAGATAGACTAATTGATCATTACATATTCTCAAGATTTCATGTTCTGGGATAGTTACCAGATGAACATGAAGAAACATCTTCCCTGACATTAAAAGAGCTTCAGTTTTACATTAACTAACACTGGAGGAAAAAAAGAAATTACCTTTTACAGAAAAAAATTATTTAAAGATTTTAATGGAGACAGTCTGACTACATGCTTAGTTTCAGAAATAACTCTTGCGCCCACCTTACCTAAAGGAATGTGAAAATGCCTGTAGTCTGCACAATGCCAGAGTAAGCATTAAAGAGAGAAAGGAAGTTCTGATAAATCTGAAGAAAAATACGTAACTGAGTAGCTGCACCTCAAAGTGTTTTCTCACTAGATTTCAAAAAGCAAGAGGTTAATGGCAGCACTTTAAAACAGAGGGCTGATTTTATTACACTGCTTTCCAATGCCACAATATTCTGTTAGAATGCGTGAATTTTTATTTGTCCAATAATTGAAAAATAAGATTGATCCACTATTCATAACAGGTTACAAGCAGAGATGAATTGTAGTGTATGTTCCAGTAGTACAAAATATATAATCAAACAAAGAATTGTAAGCTAAGCATATGATTGGATTGCACCCAGGAAGAGTTTTGCATGCAGCTCACAATAGGGCTGAAAATGGCCAAACTTACCTAATTTGCATGAAGGGCTGTGTCATTTGACACAAAGTCAAAATATGTTGTATGGCAATTATGCAAATATTTAAGAATTAAAAAGTACCAATAGTCTATTAAAAATGTAATAAAATCAAGCCACTGCTATGAGGTAGAACAGCTTACAAAGAAAAACACACCTGAAAGGAATCCACACACAAGACCAAAAAAAAACCCAAACCCCCAAAACAAAACAACAACCAAACCCCAAACAGTTAAAGACATTAGTTGTTTAAATGCAGTATTCCACAAGGTGAGAAAGTCAGAGAACAGAAATGACAATGCTATGTGCATGATGCAGAGGCAGGCAGAGATGCTGCCACCAGCAATCCTACCAGAAAAATAAGAGTAGCAGTGGCGGCAATAGCATACATTACTTCTCTTGCATATATAACATACACACCAAAGAACTCTTCTGCATCAGTGAGCACATACAAGCAAATTTTGCAGCAAGTTGCTCAGCTCTCCTAAAACAGACACTGAGGGTTCTTGATAGATTAACTGTTGGAATTGCTAGGTATGTTAACAGCATAAATTTATTTCAGTGATTACCTACTTATATCAAAAATGCAACTTCTCAGGAAGAACTAAAGAAACCTACCTGACATCTTCAAACTTCTTGGTTATGACTGAACCAACAGATGAAAAAGCAGCAGAAGCCTTCTGACCAGCCTGAGATAGGGTTTCTGATGTTTTCTTGTATCTGTGTTCAAACAAAATTAAGTCTGTAGTTATTTTAATAGAACACATAAGGAACCTTTTAGTGTATGTAAATTTGTATCAAACCCAGAGGTATACTTCAATGTTGGAGTCAAATGGACAAGCTACTTCAGAGATTGTTTTGAGCCACTGCAGTCCTTTCTGGCTACAGAATCTCTGCCACCTCAGACTTCAGATCAGGTTCACCAACATGCACCTACTACCCCAGCCCCAGAACAGATGCTATCTGTTACTGTAGGACTTTAAAAAACAAACAAAAAAACCCCAAAACAAAACAAACAACAACAACAAAAAACCCCAACCAAAACAAAACCAAAACACCCTGAGAAAAACGCCACCATGCATACACACTGATAAAAGAACAGAGGTCTATTTTTTGTGTCAAGTGTCTAAAATCTTACTTTGTCAATAAACTTCACCATAAAAAGTTTGAGGTGCATTCTCTTACATTCCATGTAGTCCTTATTTGCAGAAGGCAGTTCACCCTAGACCTTAAGCTAACAGTTGTGTTTGGCAAGAACATTAACTGTGACTGCACTCTTCCTGCATGAGCTCAGTCTACAACAATTATTCAGGCTGGAAAAGAAGGGTATTCTGTTGGAATTAGTGCACCTTGGTATCAGTAATGGCATGTCAGGTCTGTCAGAAAAAAAGTATTAGAATTGCCCATATTATGGTCAACCATTCTTATTTTGCATGAGATGATATGGCTAATAGCAGCCTTCTTGAAAGAAATCTACGATGATTTATCCAGGTAGGTTTTAGTGCAACTTTGTTTTATCTACACTCATCTCATTTCACAAGAACAGAGGGTTTAGACATGACAAGAACTACATGGTTTTCACTTCAACAGCTGAGACAATCATCGTGAACTGGTACGTACGCTGTGGTTGATGTAACATCTTGCCAGCTTTTGGTAATGTTCTGCCTTAGTTCCTGTAATGAGTTAATTCCCAGCTTTCTCTTGATTTCTGCTAGATGCTTCTCTTTGGCAGCTAGCACTTGTGAGAGCGTCTGGATTTCCTCTTCCACCTGTGGCAGCAGAGTTGATGAGAGGTAAGTTAACAAGCAATACACAAGCCACGTATTTATTAAAACATCTACTAGGCATCAGTAATGGAAGGGATAACGCAGTTTTAACATTGCCTCACAGTTGTTTCTAAATACTAAAAGGGAAATCCAACAGAATCTACAAGAGCCAGTTAGTGAGAAAGTGATCTACCTGCAGCTAGCTCTGTTACTGGAATATGCACAAGGAAGTTGGTAACTAAAAGACTGTATAGTTAGAAATCATTACCTTTAGACAACATTAGCGTATGTGAAGCTTAAAGATTAGTCAAACCTGAGATAATCGCCAAGCCTGCATTCTCCTTCCACGTCAAAAGGGATACCAACATATGAACAGTATCAGGAAGCTGAGAGCATGTCTGATCCATACACAAGTTTTCTCTCCTTGCTTGAACAGAAAGGTTCTTTTGTGGCATAAGCCAGCAACTGCAGGCTGGATCCAGCCACAGGAGTGCTGTCCCCAGAGCAGGGGTGAAGCGGTGGCAGACTGAGCAGTTTAAAAAACAACCAAACCAAACCAAAAACCACAGCAACAAATACAGAGCACCTGTTCAGCAACTAGAAAACTGCATTGTTTGTATACTTCCTTCTTTACACAGATGGTCACTTAAGCCTCTCACAGAAGCACAACCAGACCATGATCAGAGATGTCAAAGCAGTTTTATAGCCCCATTCTGTGGGCTATATAGATGTGACAGAGGCACTAAGGCCGTATGTACAAAGGCGAAAGCATACATCCAACCCTAGTTCCTCATCCTGACTGGACCACCCTACTCTAGAGAGTATCAGGCTGCCCACCCATTTAAGCTCCTTTGAGAAAAGACCAATACCTTCCATGTTTTAGATACCTGTCCAGCATGACATATCCTTGCCGAACCATCTTCAGCTGATTGGTTTGGCATAAAATAATACTCAGGACTACCAAAACCAAGACTGCATTAAAGGCACTTATTTCACAGCTAACCTTCACCTGCCAACCTTAGGCTTAAGTTACTGTCTTTTATTAGAGTCCTAAAGTCACACAGAGCTACAAAAGAAAAAAGACTGGGGACTCAATAAAGCCCAACTTTGACAACTTTTGCAATGCATGTATCAGGCTTGAATATTTGACTGTCCTTCAAAGAGTGCTACTTTAACTTGCTCTTAAAAAAAATTTCTGCTGTATGAACTATGGTCAAGAATAGTTACATGGTTATACATTAGCAAAACAGTGTCTACACACCATATTACTACAAAGCATCCTTCACGAAAACAACAGCTTTAGTTATTCCACACCAACTGAGACCGTACTTGGTTTTGGCTTCCAACTATGTTCTCTTTGACAGCTTCTCACTTGAGGAAAGAAAGTATTAGGCATTTACACATCTTGGTTTAAGATCTGTGCACTCAGCACGTCTACCTTAATTCCCCATAGCTAGAACTGGATGTTCTTTTCTCCTTGACACCTTCCCTTTCCCTCCCCACAATACACAGGAGTGCCATACCCAGCTTTAGACACCCACAGAATAAATATGCAAAGCATTAACTGTACGTTCAAAGACAGCATTATCCCAGATATTCATTCTCAAAACCAGTTTAAGAGCTATTTGCAAGAGATTTACCTTAGCAAGCTCTTTTCTTAGCTCATCCTGTTCTTCTTCTGAGAGTGTTTCTGCCATACCAACTGTAGCAGCAGCATCCTCTCCAACCTCAGGTATAGAGTCGCTTCTCAGCAGCCCTTGATGTGAATAAATCATTAAAAGTCAGATCATCACATGTCAGCCAGATAGCAACTAATGTTAATATACAGCCCTTTTGTGCCAGTGCACAAAGAAAACCGATGATGACACCAAAGTCACACTCCCCAAGTACTACATCACATGTCAGCCAGATAGCAACTAATGTTAATATACAGCCCTTTTGTGCCAGTGCACAAAGAAAACCATGAGGACACCAAAGTCACACTCCTCAAGTACTACAGCATACAGGGAACCAGAAGCATTTTACTGGCTGTTTCATTCTATCAAGTTGTTTTAAAGCTCAATATAATCGCAACTGCTGCTATAATAGGAGACTGAAAACACATTGAGAACACCACATCCCTCTACTCTGATAAAAAACAAGGCACAGAATGGTACATCCCAACCAGTCATTCCTACACAACCTCTGCCCAGGAGTCCACATGCCCTCTGCTCTCTCACTTATGAGGCACAGAAACTCTGGAAGCGCTGGAGGTGCTCAAGACCACTGCAGAGGCTCCCTCCCTCCTCCCTGGATCAGATTAAAAAATGCCCATTCTCTACACACTGGGAGCAGTCAGGGCAACAAGCAAGCTCAGCAACAGCAGAGGAAAGGGTTGCACTGCGAATACAAACTCTTCCCCTATACCCTGCTCAACCTCTCTGACCCCAGTAACTGGGACCACTGTGGCTACAAAGTTGCAGGTATCATGGAACTAGAAGTAAGCTACTGTTTTGTGCCTTGACATTAAGACAAATGAGAGGAGAAGGAGGTTGGGAATAAAAGGCCATCACTTCAAAGCAGTGGAGTGCTGAGAAGGGACTGATGAGGATGTGCATCCACTCACACTGCTGCCTCCTCCCCTTCCAAATCCAGAAAACAAAACTCTACCAAATTCCTCTGTATGAATCCCAAACACCCATGTGGTCTTCCTCAACTTTTGGCTTCGCAGCTAAAAGGAAAGGAAGGAGAACAATATTATTTGTATTACTATGATGCACTCACTTTAAAGATTCATTTGTTCTTAGTCCTTAGTGCTTGCAGTAAGATCCCTTTAAACAGCTTTTAATGCAACAAACAGATTTTCCAGCAAAACATTTCCCATTCTGCATCTTGGTAGCTGACACTTAAACATGGTTTGCCAGAATTAAGGAATCCTGTTCTAATTTGCAGAGAGACCAGTTTGCAGAGAGACTGCATGTTGGAATGGTTGTGGATTCCCAGAACTAATTCTCTGTTCAAGAGGTAAAAAAGCTTTATAGATAGGAAAAAAAGAAATGAAATAAAAATCTTAAAATAGATGAAAAAAACCCCAGGATTGTTTGTTTGTAAGAAGAGAGGATGAGTGTGTGTGTGTATGTGTATATATTTGTATATAAATACATAATTCAGACAAGTAGAGGACATATTAAGTAACATTCCCTTACTAGTTACTATAGTAATTAACCAGATAAAATTTCATCCTCATTTCAGCAGTTTCTGATGGCATTGCACAACACCATTTGGTCTGGGAATCAGAAACCTCATTAATGTGCAATGAGACCACCACTATGATGTCACTGTGAGGCTTGATATCAAATAGCAATATTGCAATCAACTGAGAAGTCAGGGAAAAAAAAGATTCTGCAAGTCTCTAATTAGTTGTAGGTATTCTATCAAACACACTCCTACTGCAGCTGTCAAGACTAAGAAAAGGCCTTGCCCTTGATCAAGTTAACGAACTCAGGTAATGCTCAATTGTACAAATTCTTTTCCAAACATGTTTTCCCAAAGTATGTTTTCTGCCTGTATTTGTGTCCAGAACACTTGTCCTCCGAAAGCACACTGCTACATAGGCAGATTTGTAAATGGTAAGTTACCATGGAGTATACTGAGGAGGAAGCATACAGAAAGCAACTGAAACCCCATTCTGCATTTATGAAATCTATACCACATTTTCCCAGAGATTTACATCTGTCTTCTACACAAACATAATCTAGTTCTTACTGGTCTCCTAATACACTATTTTCTGGCAGGAATCTAGAGCGGGAAAAAAAAGTTCGAGTGTAATGCTCAAACCAAAGCACAGTACTACAGCACCAAACAGGATTATGGCTCATGTCTCACAATCAGGTAATTACTTTTTTTATACATCAACACATTTCCTTTTCTTAACATCAAGCAGCTAAGAATACCAGCCCTTTTTGTCAAATTGCTATTTATGCTATTAATTACATAAGCCTAACTGAAGGAAAACCAACAATTTAAACTGTGTTTTCCTCTGATGTTCTATGACTCCCATACGTTGACCTCTGACTCCTGACCTTGTTCTCCATCTGCAGCCCCTTCAGGACTACAGAGCTTGCTGTTGCAAAAGCCATTTCAGAAAGTCTGCAAGTCCCAAAGACCACGCTGGCTCCAGAGCTTTAGCACATCCAGCTGAAAGTCTGTTCAATCTGGTTATGAAGAGTCATCCGGATTATCTCTACCAAAAATAGACCAAGTGAATCCAGCAGTAGGAAAACATGCCAGATTGTCTCCTGCAACAATAGCTTCTGTTTTGGGAATATACTTTCGCTTTGGAAAACTGGTGCTTGAAGAAAGTTTCTGTTGCTTGTTGCCTACATTGAATGTAAGACTCAACACTAAGAAGTAAGGGAATGATCTCCCCTCGCCTTCTTGGATCTTTTAGGAAGACAGGAAATCACTCTACTCAGAGTCCTCCATACCTCACCTTGTACATCTAACCATGCCTTCCTCTCCTGCCTCCCTCCCATTTATTACTTTTCCTTTAGTTCCATTTGAAGTATACAAACACCTTTCCATCAGTCTTTATTCTGGCACTCCCCTCTGATCCCATTACTGTTCACTCTCTGCTTGCTTTGCTCCCATTCCTCAGTTCACTTCAACACTTGCAGGACATCAGGTTCATCCGTGCCATGGGAGGGCCATGCTAGACAGCCTGACCAAGAAGCACTTGTCTACACAGATAACAACCCACAGACCTCCGCAACAGCGTGGCTACAACCCAAATGCACAGCCCATGAGCTAGGGTTGGCAGACAATAAGATCCTGGGTTTGAGCCAGCTTTGTACGGAAAGGTGCACAGCCCACCTCAGGTACTTCTGTGGGATGCAGGGCAAGAAACCAGGAAACAGCAGTCAGCCAATAGATGGAAATACTTCAGCTCAGCCATGATTAAAAGAGCGTTTCTCACTTGCACTCTTCTCTGTTCACCAGCAGAAATGCTGTCATTTGGTCCCAATTTGTTACCTTTCGTTACTTTAATTCCCTCGCATCTTTAGAGTTACAAGGGACTTCAAATTCAGTTGTTTTGTACTCCAACTGATACAACCAAGCTTAGCTGAGCATTTCAAGTCTCTTATACAGAGTAAAAACTCGGTTGGGAAAAAAAATGGGAATACTTACTTAGAATTACAGACACCTTAAAACTAAGATTAACTTCTTATCCCAGCAGTTTATTAGATCTACTTAAATGAACCAAATAAAGACATGAATGAACTACTTAGTTGATTAGGACTCCACAGATCACCATTCAGGGACACTGCACTTAAGCCCCCATTATTCTGCCAGTGTAGGCAAAGCATTAGTCATGCAACTTAACACTCGGTTTTCTGGTTTGGGGTTTGCCTTGTTTGGTTTCAACCCAAGTTCATGCCCTGAAGTTCCTACCACTTTCTGGCCTGAATTCAGAGATTAGCAGTAAACATTAGCCGTTTAAGGAAGTGCTGGACACTTCAGTGAGCAGACTGTGGGGTGGGGGAAGGTTAACCTTCACAAAGCTTTATCTTTAGACAGACATCTTCTGTGTCAAACACTCAGAATGAGCATATTTGGTAATCACCATACAGTTGGCGAAGCCAAAGAAAAAAGGTGCTTGTTAGAGTTCAGAACAAGCTGTTACAAGATTATAAATTCACTCCAACATTTGAGTAATGTACAGTGCTACAGAGGATATTTAGTTCGAAATATATAACAAAGATCAAATGTAAGTTCTTCCCATTTATCTCAGTGAAAAAGCCAAAGCGAGACATACTACTTCAACTCAGGAGAGAATTCTTGGGCTTCTCCCAAACACTAATCATATATGCATTCAAAGTGAATGAAAAAGAAAAAAAGCCCAAAGGCTGGTGCTTATGGTGATGTATCACCACCAGATACACAGCCCTACTCCCCCCCTTTAGAAGAGGTGGGAGACGCAGTAATTGCAGTAGTGAAAGCTGACCACTGTTCCCCAGAGGCCCCTAGCTCGTCTAGTTCACAGAGGGGTTTTAATTCACACAGATGTTCCCCAAGGGATGCATGTTTCTTTAAGATTTTAAAGAACAAATCCATTAAAATAAAAAGTCAACACCTTTGTAACTTTGCTTTGTCACACCTGAAGTGGGGCTAAGCTTTCTACATTTTTAATTACTCTGGAAGATCATGTCCAGCAGCATGGAATGGAAAGGAAACAAGGTAAAACCAGACTAGGATGGGTTGGGAGGCACGGCTGTACGTGTTCTGTACAACAGGTTGTTTCTAGCGGGTAGCTAGAAACTAGTAGGGTTAAGCACTAGACAGGTGCCACTACAGCACATCACACAACAGCCAGTTCCTCAGGGGAGTGCAAGTACATTAAGTGTCCACAGGTGTAAGATTTACAGCATTTTAAATGCTAGGTGGAATGGAGTAAAGGTTTTAGAGGGCATTTCTGTTAATCAGTGATATTTTCAGTACTAAGGCAAGAGCAAATGTTAGACTATCCAGAGCTCTCAAGTCATACTAAGGAAGCAGTTCTTACCTTCCCCCCAAAAAAGCTAATAGTCAAACTAGGCCAATTATGCCAATCTTGCAGAAGTTGCCCTTTTGTTCCTAATTTTATTGCTCACTTTGTTTTCCCTCAAACTGCCTTTTTACTGGATTAAGAAATAGCAAATAAGGTAAAGCTGGTAAATTCATAGCACATAAAATATTACCTACATGACACGTTGAAGCTAATAACCAGTTAACAGCAGGTCAACTTCTACCCTTCATTTACACCTGCACTTCAGCCAAATTTTATGGATTCTTAATTTGAAAAGTTCCTTTTTACAGATATTAATCACTAAGCTTTCCATGCAGAGGTTTTGAAAAAGAAAGAGCAGGAAGTTACCAGACTTTGCCAGTGTAGGTGATCCGGGTGGAGAAAGGTTTATGCTAGGCGACAGGAAAAGATAGTTTCTGTTCACTCCAGCATTGAAATCGAAGGGCGACTTGTAATCCTCATACAGATCCATGCCAGAAAATTCAGAGCGTGCAGCTGTCCTCTTCCATCGAAGCTTTCATCTTCGTTTTCTGGGGTAACCCAGACAGAATTCAGAAACCCTCTGTTTCTTCACATGACACTCACTATACCTCCTCAGAAAATTTGGCACTCTATGCCTCTGTTAGATATGATAGATCCTCCTAGCAAGTGACTTCTTAGCCATCTTGTAGCTGCCACTGCTTACATGGCACAAAGTTAAGTTCCTGTAAATTTATAACTGGGGCTGGACTTAAACAGACCGTTCCTTTAACAAACAATCACAGTGCACCGTTCGCGGCTTCTGGAAGAGCCTTGGTCCTCTGCAGAACTGCATCAAGAATTTTCAATCATTTAAATAAAAAAAGGTCAGCTGACTGCAGCTACACCAGGATAGCCTTAATCTTCTAGGACACGAAAGGATTACTAGCCGTAATCTACCCTATATACCATCTGTGTAGGACTTTTTTCTCTGATTAATGGAAAACTCTGCGTGCGTAACTATTTCCTCAGCTGTTTCCACCAGTGTAATAACCAGTAGCCAGAACTCAGTCTCTGCTGCCCAGGTATCACACTGTAGTGCGAGCTCAGAATAGGAGAAAGCAGCACTCATCTATGAAGGCTAAGCTATAAACACCACCTAGGTTTTTTATGAAAGGCTGAACATACCTAGGTATGAGGTGGTTTTGCGGGGTTTTTTTATTTGTTTTGGTTTGGGGTTTGTTTCGGTTTTTTTTTTTAAAGATTATTGACGTGCGCTGCCCTATGTCCTTGGTGCTTCAGCTAGTGTCACTTAGAGCAGCCAGTTATGCCAGGAACCGGTTACACTGGAATGCATCTTCCTGATGAAATGTATTTATGTTTTGACACGTATACCATAAAGAAAGATCAACTTACATAAGCCATCTGACTTCATGCTGGGGGTTTAAGATTTAGCCCTGGGAAGCAGAAGTGCTTCTTACCTAAAAGAGGCACTCAGCACAGTTTTGCAGTGCTTCACCACATTTTATTTTTTTTTCTTCCAAGGTCAGCTTCTTTCACTGAAAAAACAAGCTTACTAGCAGTATAGATCACCTTTACAGCCGAGCAACGACTTTCTCCCAACCCCACACCTTCGCCTGGGCTCCTCACTGCAGCCTGCACACAGAGGAGCATAAACAAATGGAAGTTAATCTTTTCCTCTGCCGTAAGAGTGATGTTTTAAGACAAAGCTGATCGGAGACATTACACCAGCCTCCGCTCAAAGCTGCAGAAGTGAAGGAGCCTTGCAGCACACCCAAGTCAAGCCTGGGCAATGTATTCCCTGAGGATATGAGAAGAAAGCCTACCACTTCTGAAGTTTTATCTTCCCATTTCCACTGCAGTCAGCGGGTGCAGAAACAGACCTTCCAGCTAATTAAAGAGCAGTTCCTTTAGACTGCAGACCTACATTGGCTTCTGGTGCAGACTACCTGCAGGCTTGTAACAATGAGAGTGCTGGAGCCTGGAACACAGGTTTCCGCTATTTTCCGAACCTACTGAAAAGAAGAAAATATAATGGCCCTCTGCATTTCTGACACGTGGCTGCAGCATCTGCCAGAAATACTGTCAAGTGAACTTTGCAGAAGTCAAAGCTTTGGTCACAGATTCTAGTTAAAGCATCCAGAGCTAGAAGAGAACTGTAACACAGCTACAGTATAATATGCTCTCTATTAACCAAGCATACTAATACAAATAGCTACCGATTCGGCTTTTCAGCCTTCTCTCATGTACCTCAGCAAACAGGGACTGCCTTCTGTACAAAAGGCTCAGGCAGTAGTTGTACTAACTGGATTAGGCAAAATGACAAGTGGCATACTGGAAGAGCTGGGTGTTTTCTACCATTGCTCTTCCAACACAAAAAGAGAGAGTAAAGGTGAGGTTACCTCCTAGGACTTTTTCCCACCCCAGATAATCATTCAGTGTAACACTAGACAATGCTAGCATGCTAGAACAACTGAAAGGAGTAATTATAGGAAAAAGAACCCCTTCTGATGATCTGTTCATCCCTGCTAATGATCAGGAATACCATTTCCTGGAGTCAACACTTATATTCTTGTCATTTACCGGAAACCCCCTGCAGTTTTACCCCATATCATCCATTCAAAAAAAATTTTAGTACTCTTCCTGCATCTTTATTGTGCAAAAGTTGGTTTCACCACCTGTCCTGGTTTCAGCTGAGAGGGTTGATTTTCTTCATAGTAGCTAGTGTGGGGATATGTTTTGGATTTGTGCTGGAGACAGCATTGATAATATAGAGATGTTTTTGTTCTACGGACCTGTTGTTGAGCAGTGTTTACGTGGGGCCAAGGCCTTTTCTGCTTCTTGCGCTGCCCTGCCAGCGGGATGGCTGGGGGTGGACAAGAAGTTGGGAGGAGACACAGACAGGACAGGTGACCCAAACTGACCAAAGGGATATTCCATACTATATGACATCATGCTCAGTTTATAAGGAGCTTGGGGGAAGAGAGGGGGGGGGCGGCAGCATTCGGAGAGACAGCGTTTGTCTTCCCAAGTAACCGTTACGCGTAACAGAGCCCTGCTTTCCTGGAGATGGCTGAACACCTGCCTGCCCA